TGTATTTATTTACATTTGCCAGCCATCTTAAAAAACAACGTTTTCAACAAAAAATTAATCCATTATTTTTAACGATATTTATTTTTTTAAATTTTTTAATACTTTACTATATGCGTAAAATACGTAAAAACAGCATTTTTCAAGATGGCTAATGACTGTAAAAACCGCTCCAACAATCGCGCCAATGTAAATCGCCAAAAATCCGTGCAAACGTCTACCAAAGTAGCACCGAATTTTTTCCTCTTGAAAATATAAGAATATAATATCATTAATTATACTGTGCTTTTCAGAATTTTTGGGTACTTTTTCGTTTCGCCGGCGCAAATCTCGCCAAGCAGACTTTATTGGCGACAACATACAGTACACCATAAAAATATTTAAAAAAATGTTAGTTTTAAGAATTCTTTTTTTAAAGGCAAACATTTATATCGCTTAAAAATTTTATAAAAAACCGATAATAAAGACATAATTCGTAAAAAGACATTAATTTCAGAATTTACTACGCTTTCATGGTTCAGAATCCTGATTCGCCGCTTCATATCACGTAACCCCAAGCGATCTCATCTCACGTAAACTACTCTTTACAAAAATCTAATGCCTCAGTATTATCTACATTAATTCAAGTTAAATCTTAATTTGGAACACAAGTTTAAATGCAAGAAATATTTCAATTCGTATGAATAGCTTACTCAGAAATTATGTAAACTGCAGTAACTTTACTTCGCTAATGTATTCTCATTAGAATTGATGAATTTAACTCTTGACTTTACCTTTTCTATATTTTCGGTTTCGGGTAGCGCTGTGATGCATCCTAAATTGACTTATACCGAAATGGCCTTGGACATAAACTGAACTATCTGATAAAATCTATGTAATTATATGTCATATTGAAAGAAACAATCATCTGATAAGAAAAAGCTGCGACTTGTTTTTGAAAATGAGGCGTAAAAGGTTACCACGAGAATATTCCGTTTGGCCGGTTGCACCTTATTGCGACTTTATCGCTTGCGCCGGCAAAACGGAAAAGTACCAATTTTTGTTTTGTTTTTATATTCTTTTTATGTTATTTATTGCTTATTTCACTGTTTTTATATTGAAAAGTTTTTGAGTGATTTTTTAGAAACAAGTCCTTTAACCTCCTTTATACCATTTTGAGTTTCTTAAGACTTTGCAAAGGGAAGTTGGTTAATTTATTTATTAGGATAATTAATATTTGTATTAAGGGATATTGCTTATTTCATTGTAATTTTGTTATACGTAATAACTTTTTTATGAAGTTGTTCTGCAGAGTAAAATTCTACGCAGTTTTTAAATTTAGCGTTTTTAAATTTAACTTCAGCCGTTTTTCCGGTACATTTAAAAGCCAGACGAAGGCTGGCAGTTTTGAATATCCAGTTTTGAATGACGTAATCTTACTGCGAATATGGGCATCTGGAAGCCTAAATTTGAAATTTGGAATTTGTTTTATTATTGATTTCATATTTTGTAACACTTTAACGAATTTCTGATTAACAAACTCAAAGATTTACGAGTAAATAGCAACTGATAGCAATGTTGTAAAAAAAAAAAAAAAAATAAAATAAAATAAAATAAAATCAATAAAATTTAAAAAAATAATATCTCCAGCGCGTGAGACTGTGTATCGGAAAGTCTAAAGATATGCTCAAGTTAAAATTATTTTGCGATATTGCTCTTGAACTGAATTTTATGGTTTAAGTGCGAAGAACATAAGTTTTTAGTCTTTAAGTGGTTTAAGTGTCTTATATTTAAAGAAATAAAATAATGAAGAATCTGCATAAATTGATATATGTTCCTCGCATTGTGATAAAACAACGGTATCTAGAGCTATCAAAATTTGCATAACGTGATTTTCCATAGAATATAAGCCCTAATTTGAATTTGAAATTTGTTTTATTACCGATTTCAGATTTTGTAACACTTCAACGAATTTTTGATTAAGAAACTAAACGATTTAAAACCAAGCAATAGCAACACTTTACCCCCTCAAAAAAAAAAAAAAAAAAAAAAAAAAAAAAAAAAAAAAAAATCCATCCCGTGAGACTATGTATGGGAAATTCTAAAGATATGCTCATTTTAAAATTAATTTGCGATATTGCTGTTGAACTGAATTTTATGGTTTGAGTACGAAGAACATGCTATTTAATAAATAAACGTATCACACAAAACGTTAAAAAAACGCCTCTTTAGACGTAATTTAAAATCTGAAACCTTTCAAATTCCCCCTCCCCCTCCCATCCAAAAAAGTCGACTGAAATTTTGAAATTATCATACCCGTTGGAGAAAACTTTCAACTTCTCAGTATTTCCTTTCTCCAATAATACACCTCTAATTTAATTTCTTGACAAATATAGATTTCGAATTAGGAAAATATTTTCCTTTAAAATTGTCTAATATTCTTATAACTGAAAAACTTTCGTGATTTATTGTAATGAAAAATATCTTTAAATTACAAACTATTATATAAAATCAGTTAACACCTTGTCACTTCATTAAACGTAGAAACAGTCCTCGCATACATGTTCGTACTATATAGAGGTAACACACGGGGGAATTCGAAAATTCTGTTGAATTTGTGTTTCATAAAACTGGCTACAGTTATTCGCAGTATTTCATTCGCTGAATGCAGCTGAAGAATTTACGCTCTTGATTTTACTGGACATCTACTGTGCTTTATGTTCAGTTCGCAAATGAGTGTATTAATTATTATGTACAGAATGTACTACTGTATAGCGCTAAAATGATTAAAACACCAGCTATTTTTACATAAGATAATTTCCAGATTTTCATGTATTCTAGCCTAATTTCTCAGTCATACGGTCTCCATGAATTGTATTTAACCTTTCATTTGAAGCTGAAAGTATATTTCTTTGGCTTTTTAATATCATTATTTGTTATTTTATATTATTTTTGTTGCTTGAATTTTAGCTCACAATGAAAATCTTCCAGTCTTTAATACTCATTTTTTTCTAATATGTACGTACAAAATATGTAAGAAAATTTCTAACTTTAGTTTGGTAACAGTCCCTTTTATTCTTCATTTTAATTTGGCTACTTCCCGTTCCTATCCTAAAAATACTAACTGTTTGCAATATATGAACATATGTCATTTCGAAATCAATCTGCATCATATCATCTTATGTAACGCGCAACAAATGCGGACATCCTTTCTCCAAACAGTTTGAAGAAACTTTTGACTGAATATCTCACGCTTTCCTGAATGCGTATTTACTTCCTCGTGTAGCTCGCTGCTGCTAACACGTGCAGCTCATCTCTCTCTTTCGTCCATTGTCTAAGATGTAAATTTCAAAGAATGTTAGGAAGATGGGGTGCATATTGCAACTATAATGATGTGTGAATAAGAATATGTATCGCAAGCATTAATCATCCGGCAGTGAATTTTGTCGTATATTCGGCCACGTCCGTGCTTAAACGTCATCTTTGTATCTACACAGAAAAGCCTTCGCCAAATTTTTACTGTGCCACCTATATATATATAATATTAATCATACTCATCTAGAAATATATAATAGTAGAAAAATTAGCTGCTAATATTCAATAGATAGGCAGTTAAAAAATTGTAAAACTAATGAGATTTGGTGAAGTAGCGTTATTTGATACCTTCAAAATTTTTAAAAATGCATATCTAAAAATTTAGAACATTGCCGAGCTGATCTGTTTACGCGCGAAAATCTAAAACAGTAAATAAGTAGATAAAAAAATGAAAGCAAACATATTTTACATGTCAATACACACAAACAGGAAATTTGAATCCATAAAGAATTTAAGTCAGAAAACAAGAAATTCTGGAAATAATTTTATTATGGAAAGTTATGTTATACCTTAGTTACTTAGGCATGATACAAGCAATACAACTTTATGTAATAACAAACACGCTGATTACGAATTTAATGTATAACATAAATGAAGTGCAGTAAAAAAAAATATCAATGCAGTATGGCAGAGAAGACAGTTAGTTCGACGTTGGTTCAAATTCCGAATTAACCATTAAGCGAATTTATTCAGATTAAGGTAGAATGAAGTGGTATTTGCAAGAGTTTCGGAAGTTAGTTTTAGAGCGTGTTTGCCTATTCCAGGCCATGTTGTGCTGTGATTATTAGCGACTTAAGTTAGCGGCGTTGAGTGTATTAGGCTATGTCTCTCCCGTTTACTACAAATCAATCATAGCTTTTCCTGCGCAGAGCTTTTCCTGCGTAAATCAGAGCTTTTCCTGCGCGTTAAAGTATTCTGTGAGCCGTTAGGCTAATCTTCCACACCTTGACATTATTATTCGTTACGTATTTCTGTTAAGCTAGAAGTGCTGGCTTCTTGTAATCCAAATTGGGCCATTTGTTAATTTTATGTTTGAATAAAAGGGTCTTATACACCCTTCTTCTGATTTCTGGTTTGTTTCACAAGACTGAAAGATAATTCTTCAACAGTCCTTTTAAAAGTTTATGTTCTCAAAGAGACAGACTTTACAAACTAATGGAAATAAAAATTGTTAATATGAAATGTTTCAAAGAAATATAATTTACTAACTGCTTACTACGAATAACTTTTGTAGATCGAAAGTCAGTACTATAATTAAGTGTCTACTCTATGGACAGTCTAGTTCACAATAAATGAATTATCATTTATTAGCGTTTTCAGTCTTACCATGCTATGGTTGCTGGATTATGGTTTGGTAATCAACAGCCAGTAATGGCTATCTTTCTTACCCTTTTCATCCTGGAAGCAAATAAATGGAATAAATTTTGTTAATGATGGTATGCAAAAAACTATCAAGATTTTGTTAATATCTGGTGTAACAGAATAGTGTTGCAAAGGCAGAACGTAAAATAGTTAAAGGGATGTACATGCTGTGACCATCTCGGATCTTTGGTAGAAAATCAAATAAAAGATAAAGCTGAGATGTTCTGTGACAGGAAGACAAGGAAATGCGAAAAGATATAGAAAATACTGTAGTTTAATTAAAAGAAATGGAAGGAGTGAAAGGCTTAAGCTCACTGTTCGTGCTGCCTTACTTTGACACAGTCAGTGGTTTTCAAATTGATTATAGGTATTAAGCCTTTGTTAGAAATAACAAAACTTCTTGCAAATTTACGGACAAGTTCTTCAAATCACATATTATATTTCTATTTTGATAAAAAATATAATATACTAAATAAATTATTATTAAGCATAAAATTTCCGCGATTAGTAACTAGATGGCCAAGACTATTTTCTGATATAGTTCAGTGGAAAGTCACATCAGCCATATCGTAGTGGAGGAACTGGCTTTTGCAATACAAGACTCTATGTTTGAAGTATATGTTATCAACAAAATACTTTAGATATTATACTTATATTGTGTCTGTAATATATATTTTATTGCAATCATCTGTTTCAAAATATGAAACTAAGATTGCAAATTGTTATTTCACATTTTTGGTTTTTGAATTTGAGTTACTGTATGGTGAGGTAACAATGAATTTCAATGTACATTTAGTTCTTCATCTAAGTACATCTGTAAGTATTTGGGGACCATTATGGTTATATTCTGTATTTCCCTTTGAATCTCGTAATGGGCGTTCAGTTAAATTGGTTAAAGCACAAAAGGAATTTTGAAGCAGGTTATTCATGAATATTATGTAGTGTTACGAATTTGGTATTTAAAAAGCTAATGTTATTTCAATTATAAATTAAATGGTTTTATTTCTCGCGCAGTGCAGCGCGTGACGAATATTAAAAGAAAGCTAAGCCGGAAAATTGAAAATACAAGAGCGCGTGCATTAAATAAATAAATATATCTCTTTTTGATTTCGAGAAAGTACTGGAAAATTCTAGCGCGTGATTTTAAAATCTTATAAAAGGAGGAAAACATCTCAGTTTGTAGTAGTTGCTTAGTTTGTTGTTGTTTTAACTGCTCTTGTTGATTGTAGCGAATTCGCGGATTAGCGTTCTTTAGCTGTTTTGAATTACGTTCTATTGGACATTTGAGTAGTTAAAAGATAACTACTGTGAGATATTGTAATACTGCATGATAATTTGAGAAAATTTAAGCATTTTTGTTGTGATAATAATAAATTTTTGTTCATTTTTCATCGGACTTGTGCATTCATTTTATAACGAACCCGTACGCACGCAACAATTTTTGGTGTCAGAAGTGGGATTTGAATGCCAATCACAAGAGCGATGGAAGAACAATTGAGACAGCTCATTAGTGCTTTTGCTGCATTCCAAGAAAAGATGGAAGCTGGCCAAGCATCATTTAAAGAAGATATGAAAGACTGTGTTAAAGCAGAGATAAGATCCGTTAAAAAGAAAATGGAAGCCGTTCACGAAAAGTTGGAAGCTGGTCAAGTAACTTTTAAAGAAGACATAACAGCTGTACAAGAAAAGATTGAAGCAGGTCAAGACGAAATGAAAAGAGAAATAACCTGCGTAATAGAAAGTAAATTTGAGGCTATGGAAGACAGAATAGGAGCTGTCGAAAATAAAGTCGGGCAAATTGAAGAAAAGGTTTTTCTGTCAAAGATGAAATAGAAGATAGAGTGTCGGCTGTGGAGCAACGAGTCGAAGGAAGAGTTTCGGCCTTCCGACAACAAATTGAAGAAAGAGTTTCTGCCGTTCGAACAACAAATTGATGATAGGGTTTCTGCTGCCGTCGCCAAAGAAGTTGACAGCCTAAAGAATTGCATAGCGACGGCAGGAAGCAGGATTCTGAAGGTTTTCAAATTTTTACCGATGCCTGCTCGTTCCGTTCTGAAACTATCCTACATATGATGGGAAGACCTCCTGGCAGGTGTATAAGGACACAATTTTCTATCGTTGCGGATGCGAATGGATGGGATTCCCAAGCTAAGGCCTGTCATCTCGCCGCTTCTCTGAGAGCAGACGCAGCGGATATCCTGCAGACGCTTCCCGAAAATCAAAGGCTAGATTTCGAAGCTCTATCCGGCGCTTTGGAGCTGCGCTTTCGGCGAGAAATGTTTAAAAGACTACAGCAGGCTCCAATTAAAATCTCGTCAACAGAAGCCTCACCGAAACGCTTCAGGAGCTCGCCACGGATGTTGAAAGGCTGTCCCATCACGCCTTTTCGGAGTGCCCGACAGAAACAAGGGGGAAATCCTGTCCCTGCAATATTTCATCGATGGCATCCGGGACCCTGAAATACAGAAAGCTCTGCGAATGGCGGATGTTAAAGATTTGAAAAGCGCTTTAGTGTACGCCATGAAATTTGAGGCAGCCCAGCAAGCCACCTCGTCGAGACCGCCACCCAGTCAGAGCTGCTCAAGTCCAGGAGCCAGGGGATCAAGTCACCTGCTCGTCTAGACGATTTAACTAGACAACTGAACGCCTTGAGACGGAATATTGGTGAGAAGAAACCGACCGTTAAGTGCTGGAACTGCGGTGCTGAAGGACACATACGACGAAACTGCAGAACACCCCAGGGTACGGATGTTAAGACCGCTCCTAACAACAGCAGGGAAACTAATTAGTGGCCATCTCGCGGGGCGGAGGTTGCCAGATAATGAAAAGCCCCAGTTTAAAGCGCTTCAGATTTCTGCAGTGAGAGGCGGCAGTAATGGACTTTTCATAATAGGACATATTAATGGAGTTCCCTGCAATATGACGATAGATACAGGAGCCAACGTTCACCATCATCCGAAAAGATTTGGGCTCAACAACTGGGAAGCAAACTTATCTGGACGCCGCCCTGCGTTACCCTCCAGACTGTGTCCGGTGAGAAGATCGACATCGATGGAAAAGTAAATGTTAACATCACGTTTGGAAGTGCCGCTTACCATCACACGGCATATGTAGCAGAGATCACTGATTCTTGCATACTCGGATTGGACTTTCTAAGGAAATACAATTTTTCCTTGGACTTTAAAAATAACGAATTGCATTCTACATCTGAGGACATAGCGTTATTTGGAGTTAATGATGAAGAAGTTAAATCTGTCCATAAAATCATAGCACAAGACAATATCACAATACCGGCAAGAACAGAAATTTTACTTCCTGGATCCATAGCCGAAAACAGAAATTTCCGCTACGGCATCATAGAATATCCCAATAACTGTAATAGCCCAAAAGGAGTAGTACTAGTAGCCTCAACACTCGTCGACCTATCCAGAACGGTTATCCCGGTGAGAGTCGCCAATGTAACTGAGAAGGGGAGAGTTATTAAGAAAGGTGAGTGAGTGGTTGCAGCATGTACTCCAGTAACCAGCGTTGAAAGAAAAGAAAGAGTAACATCCCAAGAATCTGTGTCGTCAGAGAGCATTACATCGGAGTTATTGCAGAAGGCGCAATTAAACGATAAAGAGAGGAATGCTGCCGATCGCGTCATTAAAGATCTTCAAGTTGTTTTCTCCCGCTCGTCTTCTGACGTGGGTCGAACTAGTTTGACACAACATAGAATAGATACCGGCGATCATCCCCGATCAAGCAACATCCAAGACGTCTACCGTTTGCTAACAGGAAGAGGTGCGAACACTGTTAAAAGATATGGAAGAGAAGGCGATGTCATCGAGCCTTCAGCGAGTCCATGGGCATCTCCCATCGTTCCTCGTCAGAAAGAAAGACGGCTCAACAAGATTTTGCGTTGACTATCGCCGGTTGAATGAGGTTACGAAGAAAGACAGTTACCCTCTTCCTAGAATTGACGACATTCTAGACACTCTTTCTGGAAGCAAGTGGTTCTCAACACTTGATTTAAAGAGTGGGTATTGGCAGGTAGAAATACAGCCTGAAGACCGAGAAAAGACGGCATTTACTACGGGACAAGGCTTTGGCAATTCAAGGTGATGCCGTTTGGACTGTGTAATGCGCCGGCAACATTCGAACGTCTTATGGAGACTGTTTTGAAAGGCCTTTCCTACGAAGCCTGCCTGATATACCTGGACGACATCATCATCGTCGGAAAGAGTTTTGAAGAACATTTAGAAAATCTTAGGAAGGTGCTTCAGAAACTGAAAGAAGCCAATCTGAAGCTGAGTCCCGCTAAATGCAAATTGTTCCGAAAGGAAGTGACTTACCTGGGACATGTCATCTCTGCAGAAGGTGTGCGCACGGATCGTGAAAAGGTATCAGCGGTTAAATCCTGGAAACGTCCCAAAAATGTCTATCAGCTGAGAAGCTTCCTAGGGCTTTGCACCTACTATAGGAGATTCGTGAAGGACTTTTCTTCCATCGCAAGACCCCTTAACAAGCTGACAGAGAGGCAGCAAAGGTTCTTGTGGACAAAAGAATGCGAGGATGTATTTAACAACTTAAAGGAAGCTTTAACATCCGCTCCAATCCTGACGTATTCTCAGCTCGACCGACCATTTATTCCCGACACCGACGCGAGCAATGAAAGTGTCGGTGCTGTTTTGTCCCAAGAAATAGACGGCCAAGAACGTGTAGTAGCTTACTGGAGCAAGTGCCTGTCTAAACCGGAGAGGAATTACTGTGTCACCAGGAAAGAGTTGCTCGCCATAGTCAAAGCTGTAGAACAGTTCCATCACTATCTATACGGCAGAAAATTCCTGCTCCGCACCGACCATGCCATCATTGACCTGGCTTTTAAATTTCAAGAATCCTGAGGGTCAAATAGCCAGGTGGATACAGAGACTCCAAGAATATGACATCACTATCCGTCATCGTAAGGGATCATCACACGGAAACGCCGACGCCCTGTCTAGAAGACCTTGCCAAGAAAGCTGCCGATATTGTTCCAGGGTGGAAGCGAAATACGAGCTGCTGACTCCGGTCGCAAGACAAATTACAACATCAACATCGGCTGATCGAGAACCGTGGAGTGATGATGAAGTCAGGAAAGACCAGCTGGAAGACCGCGACATTAAACCCATACTTGATTTAATAGAGTCATCAAACAGAAAACCTACCTGGCAGGACATTTCTATCTGTAGTCCTACAACCAAACAATATTGGGCACTCTGGGATTCACTTCACATTCGAAACGGCGTCTTATACCGGAAATTCGAATCGGATGATGGGAAGACGTTCCGATGGCAACTTATACTTCCAAGATCCCGCATTCCTGATGTCCTTAAAGAACTACATAACAGCCCTACGGGAGGTCACTTTGGAATAATGAAGACCTTACAGAGAGTTCGTGAGCGCTTTTACTGGAATAATGCAAAGGATGACGTGCAAAAGTGGTGCCGATCTTGCGATGCCTGTGCAGGTCGGAAAGGACCGAGGAGACGCAGCCGAGGCAAGCTGCAACGTTACAACGTAGGGGCGCCTTTTGAACGTATCGCCTTTGACATCCTGGGACCTCTGCCACGAACTGCTGATGGCAACAAATACATACTCGTTGTCATTGATTACTTCACCAAGTGGCCTGAAGCTTATCCTATTCCTGATCAAGAGGCTGTCACAGTAGCTGAGGTAATGATACAGCACTGGATTTCCAGGTTCGGAGTGCCTCTTCAGTTACATTCCGATCAGGGAAGGAATTTTGCCTCGGCAGTAATCAAAGAACTATGCAAACTACTCGGCATTGACAAAACTCAAACGACGCCATTGCATCCCCAGTCGGACGGCATGGTAGAGAGGTTCAATCGAACCATCCTTAATAACCTCTCATTAGTGGTTTCCAGAAACCAACA